GCACAATTACGGCCGTATTTCCAGCGGCCGTATTTCTAGCGGCCGTATTTCCAGGAGCCATACTGCAGCTGGAGCCGCGCGTCCCGATGTCGTTCTTTCTTCATTGATGTAGTGTCTCGCTAATATAGATGTCTCACGGCCAGTATGACCGTAGGTCTTTATAACGAACGACCGTACTTCTGAATAGTGGCGTTGTTTTCATCGTCGATGGTGTCACACCAAGATCATTGCCGTACTTCTGCTGTAGGGGATCGTGACCGTACAGTATATATACGATGACTGTGACCGTATTGTGTTGATGACCGTACCGGTGATAATTGTTGCTCAGTGCTCGAACTAGAATGTTCTCATTACCGGATTTAATATCGGTGAACGTTTTGTTGCCTCACGGCTAAGTAGCGTTGCCATGGCCGTAGGGATGATGTTAACCGTACAAATGTGGATAAGTCCTTGCCGTTATTTGTAGATTTTGACGCTCTATACAATGCATGAGTTGTAGTTGTAGGAACGACTCGAAGTTGCGCGCAGTCGTTATTTCCCGACCCACTGACCAACGGCCGGGGCCGTCACCTACGTCTGCGGAGATAGTTGCAGACCGTACTGGCGTGACAGTCACCACCCGAAGAACAACCCTCTGGCGCGAATTTTAGGATCCTTAGCCTATACTTTCAAAATTCGCTAAGTGAACGTCAGTACTTACGATCTATTTTCTTGTCTACGATTGGTAAATTTTGCGTGAAAGGCCGTCAATGATTGGCTGATGAACTTACGATCTCTTAACTATATTTGAAAGTATAGGCCCTTATATAGGCATTCGCCGCGTACACTTAGGACATGCCAGAAGACGGCGCCCTGAGAGGCCGTTGCAAGTCTCGCAAATATCGGCCTACGTAATACCATCAATCAAATACCATCGACCAATACGAACTATAAACCAACTCTCTCAAACGATATTCTACCCCGGTAATTGCGGTCAAATCAACCACTGCCTATTATTGCTTAAATAAGCTCCGTCCCTTCACTACTTCACACAAGCTATGTTCAATATTAAAATAAAAACTGAAGTCAGAATTACCTAGGCTTTGTTAATGCATATGTCGCTGCCACTCTATTGATGTTGCTGTCTTTGTTGCTGCTGTTCTTATCGTTGTTGTTGCTGTTACTTCCGTTGTTGCGGTGTTTGTTGCTGTTATCTTTTATCGTTGTTATAATCATTGCATTCACTGCTGCTGTTATATCCTTGATCTACTATCAATTTTGTAATCACTTTGTAGAAGTTAAACTATACTTATTTTGAGATTCTCCATATACTTTTCTCGTGTACATACGATTTATAACCTCTAGGCACGACTGCAGCTATAGACCGTTGGTCAAGCTCTCTCCGTAGCCATAACTCGCTCTGTATGGTTCAGCAGTTCGGTACGCCATTTCATGGCTTTTCTTCAAGTATCCTTCGATTATGTTCTTCCTTGTCGTTTTTTATAGTTTCCATTAGTATTTAGGCTTTGCTTATTACTAAAAATAATTATAATACCTTGTTTAGTAATCCAGCAGGCCTAACTGCTCATTCATTTCTGTCATAGACCGTTAGAATTTTCTGGACGAGTTTTCATTCCATCGCTCATACGATCAAAGGGTAATGTTCTTTATGCGAGCAATTGAATTTAAGCCTCGCTCCAAAAGTGCGATTTGAAGCCGTAAAGAGTAGCGGGATCGCTGCCACACAATACACGTGTCGTTACAGCCGATCTTTTGTTCGCAAAAAACAACTTATCATCAACAATTTTTAACTGAATTGTAGAATTCCTTGAATTATATGCCTGTGTACCTCTCTTTTTTGACGAAAACTCACTAATTTTTTTCTACGTGAACGATTGAAAATCGTTGTATTATATCAGGTACCCAGATCATATCATGATCGTGAACGATTGAAAATCGTTCACGATTTTGTATAAGTTTTTATCATTGCTTAATTCCGTTTCTCTACTGGGTAAAAAATTGTACACATTGGTGTTAATGAATTCCCAGTGAGGCCGATTGCATAACATAGACTTCCGACCTTCTCTCACAAGATTTGCTTCAGAAAGAAGTGACGAGGGGGGACAGTTTTGTCGCTAAAAGAGATTCCTGCAAACCGATCAGCGAAAATCTTCGCTCTGGCTATTCTAGTGGCAGCAATTGACTGCCGATACGGATTCGGCTCTTGTTTCCGCAGCGTGCCTATTCCTTGACAGAACTGCAACTACAACCCACCTGTTTTGTCATTTTTAGCGCATTTTCTCATTTATGGAAAAAATGCTCTATTGTGCTCGCCATGTCCGTCTGTCCGTCCGTCCGTCTGTCTGTCTTTCCGTCCGTGACTTCACGTTTTCGTCGACGAGAAAATTCGCTCTCTGTCACTCACTGCAGTGAGTACCGAGTTACATTTTTTTTAGAATATCACTGTTAAGTTCCTGGTTTTAAAATGGCCTAGATCGTGTCTACTAAAACTTTTTTAAACCTCAGTGTTGACTGGAAAACAGTCTTTTTGTTACACCAATTGTTCTAACAGAACTAGAGGTCACGTTCGTGGCCGACGTTCAGATATTTCAAAGAGAAGCGAGGGTATGATTGATGAACAGTGAAGCACGGCATCATGAACAATGAATCACGGCATCATGAACAATGAAGCACGGCATCATGAACAGTTCATTTCATCGTCTAACTTACACGGAATGATACTCTCGTCATATGTTTGATCGCCAGTACCAATCATTCATTTGATTGCAATATTGTTATACTAATCATTCATTTGCTTGAAATGTTGTTATACCAATCATTCACTGGATTGAAACATTGTTATACAAATAATTCATCTGAATGAAATATTGTTATACCAATCATTCACTTGATTGAAATATTGTTTTACCGATCATTCATGTGATTGAAATATTGTTATACCAATCCTCCACTGGATTGCAATATTGTTATACCAATCATTCATTTCATTGTACTATTGTTATTCCAATTATCCACTGGATTGCAATATTGTTTTAACAATCATTCACTTTATTGAAATATTGTTATACCAATCATTCATTTCATTGCAATATTGTTATACCAATTAAATTGTTCTCGTTCCTATCCTGTTGCCCTGCGCTGAAGTTCTGAACGAAATGAATAAAATAAATATATAAGCCATTTTTGTTTATATAATGAAATTGTTCAAGAGTCATCTTATATATATATTCATATATATTGTAAACACAAATTCCTCGATGAGATAACTTTGTTCCCGGTTATATTGTAAAAAATATATATATATTTCCTCGTCGTAATCATTGTTATCTTAAGATCAAGAGTGCGGTTGATTGGCCCAGAGCGGCCTTCCTAAGTCAGCTGAAGGAACGTCCACTGATCTCCTGCACAGAACGGCAGAGCACAAGAGTTTTATCTTCCCTGTTGTTGATGAAGCTGTGATCAAACGTTTAATATTGATGGAGGAACATGAATGCATTCATTCATTTCAATTAAATTGCAAAAAGTGAAGGGATATCCGAGCGCCATTCATTTACCTTCAATAGAACAAATAACTAAAGTATTACATCTATTGTTGGTTTAGTCAGATAAATGAATGATAGAAGTTTTTTCTTATTTAATCACTAATTAATTCCAATTATTATTAGAAATAGGTTATGCCATAAATCGTGCAGAGAGAGGGTTGCAATAAAACACTGGTACATTTGATATTGAATTGAGGAATTTAAGTTCACATGCTACGTTAACAAAAATCTCTAGTACAGAAAATGGGTAATCCGAACACAATTAAAGTTGAAAATCTCTCTGTTTACATCACTAAAACTTCCTATTTATAAGAAACTTTGAGCCGTTGTAGCTCCGTTAAGTAATACGACCGTTGTAAACGACCGCACTTCACGCACACGTTTGCAGACGTATGTCCAGCGGCCGGACCGATGGCTGACTATGACCATACCGTGTTGATGACCGTACCTTATTGATTACCGTACCATGTTGATGACCGTACCGATGATAATTGCTGCTTATTGCTTGAAACTCCTAATTACCGGCGTTATAATCGCTGGACATCTCGTGGCCACTCGCGATGTCTCACGGCTGAGTCGCAGCCGAAGTTTTGATGTTAACCAACCGTACTTGAATATGTCGAAGTCGTGACCATTCTTTGTATATTTTAGGCGCACTTACAGAAGTCGAAGCTGCCTCGATGAGTCCAGGTTTCTCGCGACCGTTAATGTACGAAAACTGCGAAACCACCGGCCTCACAACCGCGGCCGTCACAACGTCCGCATACTGCAGTCTGTGCTAGTGACCGTGACTTTAGAATAACCTTTGGCGCAAATTTTAGGGTCCTTATGCATGCTGGCGTCCCACCTCTTCGAAGTGACGCTGAATTCCTCAACTGATGGAATTTCGATCGCGATAGGCAAGCCAACATTCAATTTAAACAACACCCGGTCCCCTAGCCCCGATACAACCGCGTCTTACGCACTCTACATCGCTTCAATCCACATTCCTATCTTTCTCAACACCTGCACATAAGCTATGTTCAATATTATAATATAAAAATGGTCTTAATTACCTACGCTTTATTAATGTGTGTTTAGAGCCTGATGCCTTAAATACAGAGGCTTGTCGAGCGTGTATCTATGATCCTTATCATGCCGAAGTGTTAACTGGATCTGAAAAAGTATATATTCTTTGTAAATTTTGGCAGAATCACGAGGCATAGTAAATGGTGAAAAAGGGATAGAATGAAAATTATTGTTGTGAACTAATAGATTTATAGATTGTTAAAATGAATAAATTTAAATAAAACAATTAACGGACTTGGATGAGAGTTAAATATTTTTTGAACAGGTCCTTAACTTATTATTATTCCTTATATTTGAAAAGGTTAGTCATTTCAAGTTTCGAAGATTATCCTTGCCCAGCAACAAAATGTTAAGCTGCTCGATTATAGCATAATTTCTGTTTTCCTGCAGCGGACTGCGCGGTGAGTCAGTGGTCGGAGTTCAGCGCGTGCTCGGTGACATGCGGTAAGGGACTGCGCATGCGCTCCCGCTCCTACCTCGTGCCGATGAAGGCAACCGCCTCACTCTGCCGCCGGCAGCTCGAGGAGAAGGAGATGTGCGCTGCGTCCATTCCTTTCTGCGATGGCGGCAGCATCGACAGCATCTTCGGTCCTGATAATATCGTGAGTGCCACTGATTGCTCTTATTTGGTGCAGGCTAAATGTGAGTTACGTGAGTGACACTCATTGCTCTTATTTGGTACAGGCTACAATGTGAGTTACGTGAGTGCCACTTATTGCTCTTATTTGGTACAGGCAACAATTTGAGTTACGTGAGTGCCACTCATTGCTCCTATTTGGTACAGGCTACAATTTGAGTTACGCGAGTGCCACTCATTGCTCCTATTTGGTACAGGCAACAATTTGAGTTACGTGAGTGCCACTTATTGCTCTTATTTTCTGCCCGGCATATTTTGCTAATATATTACGTTCAATGGTTAAAGGATTGATGCTCTGCAAGTTTTACTTGCTGCTCATTGGCTCGCCTCGAGTAACTGGGAGCTAAGTGAGTGATATTGTTATAGTTCCTTCCTCTATGTTATCATTTCATCGACTCGGTAATAATATTACCGAAGTAATCCAAAATTAATTCACTTTGATATGACATCAAATGCGGGTTTAGCACTATCGCATCATATCGTTCAGGAGATAAGGCTAGGTTGACAGAATAAAGCTGAGATGAACTCATTTAGTACAGAAATATCATCAAGCATAATAGCCATCTGGAGCGGCCTTAAAATTCTGCCTCTCTCTAAATGATCGTTTAACTTTGACACTGCACAGATAAGTGCTCAGGAGTTAAAGCTATTACAATAGTAATGACCCTTTAACGACCATCGCAACGTGCCTTCGCATCAAAGCTGTCCAAATATCATCGATGCAGTCCGACAACAGAACGGCAGGCGGCGGCTGCACAAAGCTCTATTCATGGTTCATTGTTAATTTTACCTGATTATAAATCGCGCGTATTTGCTAGTCTTTCCGCTAGAAACTTACGCAATGCGTAAGAATTTGAGAAGGCTAGAGGATCATCTAAAATATGACATAATTTGTGGCCCTCAGGGCTGATGGCAAACAGATTGCTATCAAATGAACGAAGCTCAACTGCTGCTCTACAGCTGGCGCGGGTGGCCCAGTTGAAATTAAATAAGTGTGATTTGCTTATTATTTAGTAAATTATTACTAATAATTTAATTTTTATTAATATTAAATTAATTTCCCTAGCCCCCTCTTTCGTAGCCTAATTTCTAGCGCATTTTCTCATTTATGGAAAAAAGGCGCTATTGTGCTCGTCATGTCCGTCTGTCTGTCTGTCCGTCTGTTTGTCCGTCTGTCTGTCCGTGACTTCACTTTTTTGTCGACGAGAAACTGCGCTCTCGGTCTCTTACTGCAGTGAGTACTGAGTTATATGTTTAATAACATAGATTTTTAACGTGAATTTTGATAGCAACCTAATAACATGAATGAAATTCGTCAGTTCGACGAATCGGTGTGCGCGCTGTCGTCGTGGTCGCCGTGGAGCAGCTGCTCGGTGACGTGTGGCACAGGCTTCGTGATGCGCAACCGGCACTACCTGGACCGCATGGGGCGCAAGAAGTGCAGTGAAGAGCTCGTGCAGAAGGAGATGTGCACCGCCTCGCCCCACGAGTGCGAGACCTCCATTGATGCCGAGGAGGTCAGTTCCATCTGTTCCGTTTGGTGCAGTATTACATGCAGATTAAATTGGATATTCACACTTGGAGGTAATAATGATGGTGTTGATAAGAGGTTATTTATTGGGAGTATTCATCTGGATTTCAATGAGTTTTTAAATAAGTTGTGTTACAATGAAGTGCGACCGCTCTCTTCCTAAGCGATAACCTATTTATTGTATAAGAGCAATGATTTTACGGAATGCTTCCATATTTCAAGATCTCCAGTTGAGGAAGCATCTGCCGAAGATGACAATGATGAGTGGTGCGAAGAAAAGATGCAACGAATTAAAAACGATTATCAGTGACGGAAAATAAAAGAACGTTGTATCAGTGGATAATATACAATATAATGCTCCGAGATACATTTATATCGTTCGTTTGCCTGAATCGCAAATTAATAAAAAATCTGAGAGCAAAGAAAATTCCGAGGAAATTCACAACATTTCGATTTGAAATTTTTCAGAAACCTGCTTCGTCATCAGTTCAAAAACATAACCTACTGATTGAGTAAACTCTTGTTCTCAAAGTTTTTGAACTGGCGATGGAGAATGTATTCACCATATTTTAATGATATATGACGATCTTCCTCGAGTTGTTTTCGCTTCTACATTCTTGGTCAATCAAATATAACATTCTGTGAAGTACTAGAATTCTTGTCTGCAGTGTTAGATCGTCTATGCCCACGTTTATTCAAATATCATCGTTAATAAAAACTTTCATCGTCCCAGAATTTCTTTATTCTCATTTTTTCTACAGTGATGAGAATTCATTGTCAATAAACTATTCATTTCATTGTCTTTCATTTCAATAGTCATTGTCAATAGACTTTCTTGATCCCCGATTTTGCCTACTCTCAGTCACTGCCACCATTCACCGATCTTCACCATTCAGCAACTTTTCGATCACTGCCACCATTCACCGATCTTCACCATTCAGCAACTTTTCGATCACTGCCACCATTCACCGATCTTCACCATTCACCTAACTTTTCGATCACTGCCACCATTCACCGAATACCTCCACCTCGTACCCCATCATCCATGACTCGTAAGCCGCCCGACTGGAAAATGTCTACCGCTCCCTCAGCACAAATTGCCTCTGGTCCTCACCACAGATCACGGACCCGGCGTGCGCCGTAACGCAGTGGTCCGAGTGGTCGCCCTGCTCAGTCACATGTGGTATCGGGGTGCAGGCTCGTACCCGCGTCTTCTTGGTACCATTCGCGAACCAGCATCAGTGTGGCGTGGACACCATGACCAAGCGCCAGTGTACCGGAGGCAGAGGCAACTGCGACATTGATCCGTCCGAAGCACAAGGTAGGTACTGGTCTACCTGTGTGAACGTTGGTAAAAACATTTAGACTCTTGAGAGTTGACGGCAATTTTTCGATGTAAAATTGATTTTCCATTAATAGAAAGTTCATCTGTATTTTAAACCCTTTGCGATATTAATAATTTCCATAAATGTGCACAGCCTTCAATTTGGTTGTGTGTTTTTGGGGAAAATAAATTGCTAGAGTGACTAATAAAGTCAATATTTATTTGAAACGTTGCACACCAGCAATACACCTGTTTCCATAATTGCTTAAATATTTGAGAATCTGAGGTGGAATTTTTACAAATTCGGGGTATGGGAATATTTTATTTCATATCTTCAATTTGCAGGGTAATTTATAATAAAGATTGGATGTTGACATCAGTTTCTACATACTATTTAGAAGCTTTTCGTCCATATGATTTACTATGAATGCGGACGGAAGTTTGAGGTAAGCCTCGCTATACGACGATTAAAAATAAGAAATTGTCAAGATTTTGTATAACACAAGTTAAAAAACACGGTCAGATTTATTTTTTGGTTTCAGATTTTTTCTTAGTTGTGTTTTTTAGCAGTTTCGATAACACGCAGAGAAGATAGAAGATATTATTCTTTCCAGGACCAAACGCATATATTGCGCAAAGTAGTGTATGATTTAATACATTATACAAAGCAGTTTAAATTATCAAGCATATCAGTTTTCTTATCAAACATCGCAGAAAAAATGAAAAAGCAAAGAAAGCGCCGAGTAAATTCACAATATCTTCATTAAAAACGTTTCGGAGACAAGCTCCATATAGGCTATTTAAAATTCAAAGACGACAGACAATCCATACTGGTAAGTCAAATTTGCACCAAAAATTAAAACCTAGATAACGAAAATAACGGACCAAAGAACATGAAAAACTATCGATTAACAATTTCAAATGAATAACAATTGTAAGTGCTATTAAAACAAAATTCAGTCTATATATATGCAATAATTCCTAAATCCTTAAATCCGAAGCTCCAGAGGTGCAACCAAGGATTTTTAAATCGTTTCCCCACGCAGTCACGTCGCATTGTTCAGAGTGAGGGAGCACAGCAGTGTTTTTTAATGAGCAAACGGAAATTAACAGTTTAACAGTAATAATTTCTGCCGCGGTGTTCGGCTAACCGGAGGTAAAAGTTACAAGACGCCATTCCAAAAGCACGCTGATGCACAACGCGCACAACTGTATTTTTAAGCTTGGGAGGACCATGTTCGGGTAGGAATAACATCGTTTTACCTGAAGAAAGAACCAATTTTTAGCTTATCTAACACTAACATTATCAAGTTCACAATCGGAAAATATTTCATGAATCAGATTTTCAACTTTCTAAACATTTTTTCTGATGAGTTTCCGAATTATAAAACAAAATACAATAAATAGTTCTTTCAATCAACCTCAGTACCAATCATCCCCATTTAAATGATATGCGAATTCATTCATCTTGAGAATGCATTTCATGGAAGGTGGAATAAACTTTGAGCTGATCGTGGAGCTGGTTTCCGAAACGTGTTTGTTGGAAACAAATTGAATTTAGTCGTCTTTTATTTTGCTTTTAAGTTATTGGTGAACTTGCAAACTGAGAAGACTAATGATGTAAGCACACGCATAGCATTGTCTGTTGTCTTGACAATTTGCAGAGTGGAATGGAAGCCCGTACAAAGTTGGTGTGAACGGCAAACTGGAAGCGGATTGTTCGGTGTTCATGCGCTTGAACATTTCCGTTCATGATCAGTACATGTTCCGTCACTGGTGCCAGCGAGGCAAGGCTCGACTCGACCGCGCGGAACGGATGCTTCCTGGCTAGTCAATAAATATTTTTACTCGTTTGCATAAATTTTTAAAAATTTCTCAATGGCCATTTGATGCTCCTTGCCTTAAAAATTTCCGATTGCTATAAATTCCTATAAATTCTCCCGTGCTAAAAATTTCTTTTGCGCTTTCTCGACTGAATAATTTGCTGCAAATTTAAAACGTTCTTTAAAAAAATACATCGTATTCGGAACTTTTTACGTTAAAATGCATTGCTGCGTTATCAATTCAAACTGCATGAAAATCGCACACCTATGGGCAAGTTTGATGTCTCACCCACTTGATAATATCAAATGAATTAAATGACACTTCCGTGTAGGGAAACACCTGTTACGTTTTTCTGACAAATTCTCGCTGAAAAAATTGCCCGCTCCGAGAATAAAAATAAAAATTGCCCGCTCCGAGAATAAGATGTAAAACGAGTAAGAATAAAACAACCTAGGACGCATTAATCTCACAGGTCAATAAGTTCAGTATTCGAATGATTGTTTATATTTTTGATGACTTTCCAAATCAACCATGACACCGACCGCTCCCCTTCCCAAAAGCACGTGATATTCTTTCAAAATTCTACTTTAGAACACGGATTGCTAAAATATGTTATCTAGAACGATTATAATTAACAAAATTGAAAATGATACAAACACAAAATTTAAATAAAACTAAAGTAAATCACTTATATTAAATCGCTGATTACAATTCATTAGAGAATCCACTTTTCAAATTTGAGTTTTCGGATTAAGAATTTGAGTCCGTCTGGGAATGAACAAAATAATTTTGTGATAAAATAAATAATCATAAGTAAAATAATAATACTAATACGATACTAAATAATATATATATATATATACATACAATATATTTTATAATAATACTAACATAAAATAATAATAATAAAATAATAAAAGAGCAAATAAAAATAATAATACCAGAATGAACGAAAATGAAAACAATATTAAAAAATTTCTGCTCAAAATTATCAATCATGCACGACAAAATACATAAAATATCACCATGTTATCACTGAGCTCCCTACACCACATCTGCACGGCAACGTCACTAACCTGTAGTTAATCCTCAATAAACAAATAAACAACAACCTGTAGTTATGAAGCACGTTGCCTGCCGAGGTCTCGTCAAGGGAATTGTAAACTAAACGACAAATCGAACATCCTAAAATCTAAAATATAATGCTCATAAATTACTTGCACCAATATAAATTAAGTAAATTCGTCCCCCCCTACGATATGTGCAACGGTTAAATTTTTAAGCTATATATTTTTAGCGCCCTATTGTGCTTGTCATGTTCGTCCGTCTGTCTGTCTGTCTGTCCGTCCGTGACTTCACGTTTTGCCGACGAAAAAATGCGCTCTTTGTCACTCACTGCAGTGAGTACTGAGTTATATTTTTAAAAAGGTTTTTTATCACAGGATACAACTTCCTGGGGCATAACTTGTAAGCGTATGAGCACCACATAAAACCAAATTATAGCTTGTCCCATAGTTTTTGTCATTTGTTTGTGGTACTTTATTCGCCATATTTATTGAACCGGACTCGAATTGTAGGTTAAACAGTGACGGCTGTATTTATTCAATAATAGCACACACATTATATTATAAATAAAAATAAATAATTACACATATAATAAGGACATAGCACAGAATTTCCGTATGTATATATCTTAGAGAGCATGTCGTCCCACTCGAGAAAAAAATTCATTACATACAAGGATATTTTATGAGTTGAAAAGAAGGAATATCGAGTAATATCTCCTTAAATTATATAAGAAACTGGCTGATTAGTTTGGCGTAAGCCAGACTTGATAATTCCTGCAGTTTTCATATCCCGTCTGTCTTTTATCCCTATAATACCGTTAAAGACAATAAGCCTTATTCATTCTATTTAAATAAAAAACCCTTCAAACTGAAATATCATACAAAAGCTAGGAACCTCGTTTTATACCTGTTTAAAAATATGGAAAAGACAATTTTAGTTTTTAATATGCATTTATTTTTTTCAAAACGAAATTAAAATTCAATTTTTTATCCAATCTTCTCCTTCTCCTCCGGTCCTTCCCTATTTTTCCACTGAAAATAAATTTTCAGGTCCAGTAATATCAGTAATATTCCAGCACGATGAGCCCCTCTATATTTTAGGTGGCAAGCTTAATACGCAAACTCAAAAACTTTGAAAATTATTCATAAAGGTATATATTATTATGAAGTGAATATACGCGGATTTACCAAAATGCAAAAATAAAATGTAATTTTTACTTTTAATGAAAGCTTTTGTAATGTATGAAGCCAATGCAGATGCTGGGTATTCATGTTGTCTCAATAAAGAACTCAAGTACAGATGGAGTTATCATAGTTTGGTCTGATTGTTAGTGCTTCTTGGCGTAACACACGTCAAAGCTATTAGCGTTGCTTGCCTTGTGCGATCAGTTCATTGCATATTTTAGATATTACAACACTTCTCTTTAACTTCACTTCTTGTCTGTCTGTCTGTCTGTCTGTCTGTCTGCTACAAATCTTGTAATCGAAATTTAATACACTTCTACTTATCCTATCGATGTTTGGGGGCTTTCGCTGTACTTATACATAAGCTATTATGATGAAATGAATTTATTAAATGATGAGTATCCGTAGTACTCTTCTGACCAAGGAAATATCAATACATGAATCCGAAAATCAATCTTTAGTACGGGTGTTATAAATCTTAGTGAAACAAGGTGGAGGGAGAAAACTCAAAACTTATACCGAACCGAAACAGGCTTAACAATGAAGCGGAGACTTGCAAATTCAAACGTCACATCCATCTACTAACAGAATCAAATGATAGCGGTTATAAAGCAGATGAACGGATCCTCCAATCTATCGTTCATAACAACATTGGGAGCGTGTCTAATATCAACATTAAAATTTTGATCTATTATAGAAACAAGAAAACACAGAATCTAGTAAGGAACAATAACCCCTGCAAAAAAACGAGAGTTCTGCAGAAGATAAATGTAGTCTTTAAATTATCCTGTAATAAAGAAGGTTGTAGGCTTCTCCCCAATATGGAATGCATCGGGCTCACAACTACGACATTAGGCCAACATCTCACGTGCCACCTTCAGTCTGATAGACCAAGGAACCACCTGATGGAGGCCCACAACGAGACCATCACTCGCACGGTGCTAGAAGAACGCCCCAGCGTCGCGATGCGATGCCCCGACGCCAACCGACTCACGATAGCTGAGGCCCACATCATTAAGGATAGGAACTCCAACCATCAATCATTAAACTACTGGACTTGTCAGAATAGTGAAACTTTTTTCGGAGAAATTTTCTTTCTTCAATTTGGAGCATCTTCCTATTTTCATGATTTTGTAATTATTTCTATCTCATATTCGAATAGGATCCTATTTACATAATTTGCACTTATGCCCATTCAAATTTCAAAACTCAGTGATGAGTATTGTAACTTGATAATGAATTTTGATTCATTAGACACGTTGTCAACAAATTAAAATGTCTATCGGTAACGTGATTTTCGAATTTCCGACGCAAACGAAAAATGTTGTTCGAGATATTAAAAAAAGCTAACAATAAATTTTTCAATAAAACTAATTCTTTGGTCTTCAATCAAATCTTCTTAAAATTCTACATTAAAATTCTACCATCATATACTAATATATAGAAGCTTGATTGAAGACTGGAGCATGGCTGGTCTTCTATCATTTGGTATCCTGCTTTTTGATCTCCCAGCGCCAGCAAAAAATTTCATTTGACTCACTGCATGGTTTTTTCTTCAATCACGGAGAGTATTCACTATATTATTATGAATGAAAGAATAAAAAAAACATCGTTAATAAAAATCATGCTTTGGTCTTCCATCAAACTCGCGTACATGAAGAACTTTTGCCTAACAATAACAATAATAAATATAACTCAGTACTCACTGCAATGAGTGACAGAGAGCGCATTTTCTCGTCGACGAAAACTTGAGGTCACGGACAGACGGACGGACGGACAGACAGACAGACCTACAGACAGACGGACATGGCGAGCACAATAGTGCATTTTTTCCATAAATGAGAAAATGCGCTAATAAATATACAGTAATGTCATTGACATGTCCACAGAGGTGTGCATGCTGGAGCCAGAGGTAGGACCATGTCGCGCCTACTTCGACCGCTGGTACTACGACAAAGAGCAACGCATGTGCATGCAGTTCATCTACGGCGGATGCCGCGGCAATAGGAACAACTTCGAGCGATACGACGACTGCACCAGACTCTGCGAGTTCGCCAGGGGTAAGAGACTGTAGGTGCACTCGGTATTTTATGTACTAGTAGGTAGAGAATTATTGCGAACTAAGAAACAGAACTTTCTTTTTTAATACAATATTGTATTATATAATATAATAGGTATTGATAATTGAACTGTTAAAAAAATTAATACAAATATAAAGGTTCAAGCAAAATTTTAGTGGAGAGCCACGAGATTATTCTCGTATCCACCGTAGAAGTAATTAGCTGGAAGTGCAGCGGATTTTCCATAAATGAACTGGAACAAAAGAAAGGCGAGCTTACCTAAAGGAATCTGTGCTCAAGACCAGTATACTTAAATGGACAATTATATTCAGTGATTTCAATTCATATATAGCGGAATAAAACTTGCAAGAGGTCGTTTTCCCATGCTAACCTTTCACCTAAACAATATTAAAGCAGAAATACGGGTCGAGCTGGCACCGGTATACACGCAATGCTTGCGTAGTAGGCGAGACAAGGTAGAAATTACGGAGTTTATACTGAAAATTAATAAGAAAATGATTTGGCATTTAATAACGCACTTTTACATGTCTATGTCAATTAATGCAATCAAATTAAAGATAACTTTGAATTTCTCAAAGGCACCATAAATATTTCAACGGCTAACTTTCTAAAATATTGCCGGTAGCTGAACTTCAGAAGTGGCATGAAAGCCGTTCAGTAGAATAAAGATGTTGATAAGAGTATTTAAATTAGATAGGAAGTAATGGTCAGCCCAAATCAGATAAGTTAACGAGAAGTCAAAGCGTAAGAACGCAAGAAAACAGGCAATAACTCCAAAATAAATTAGAGCGTCGAAGACTACTTAAATGATGCGGTAGAGCAAAGAAGTGAACTCGCATGCATTGAAAATCTTATTAATAGTTCTTCGCATGCATTATATACAAAGGATTAATGGGAAATTAGACTAGAGCTAAATATGAAGAAGAATAAACAGCAGTTAAGCATGTTAATTGGGTGACTTCCGTATAGATTAAGCCTTCAACTCAATCTCTCAGCGCCTCACCGTTCTGCTATAAATCCAGTAGCTAATAAACTTCATCTTCCATGTCTCCGTTAAATGGAAACGAAACCAAAATATATAGAACAGTCGAGTAAAAAAATCAGTTTCGCAGCAACTGAAGCGAGCAGCTTCTACAAATTTGAAGATTTTTCAAAGCAAATATCTAATTGAAGCAAAACATTGTTCATTTATTAGAATGTAGTTCATTTATTCGTACTTCGATCTAAGAGTCAGCTTTAGCTTATGAATTTAATTAAACAAGTTATGAGTTAGGCCGAAAAATCACGATGTATCTCTTCCAAATCACGATGTATCTTGAGTAGAAATCAATCAAATGAATCATGCAAATGTTCATGGTTCGAGATACTCAAGTTTGCCTACCTGAATCGGAATTTCCATTATAAAAACTCTCCGACGAATTGTAAATATTTGCCTGTTCACTAGATTGTAGGGAAATTTCTCCCTACGCTTGAGGTAAACCTCTTCAAGATGTAAAGCTAATATTTCAAAAGGATCAAAACAAATAGAGGCCAATGGAAGTAATTTAATCAGATGAAATCGTTGCTTGCAGTTCAGTTTTAATCCCAGACTTTATCGTAGGTCACTCGAATTTTAAAACAATTTAGAAGTCCAGGTGGTCACTGAAGACAGAAGCCGACCAGTATGTATACTGTACGAGAAAAAGACTTTATTACTAACGCGCTTGAGGACAAACACTGCTTAAATATTCAATTACGGAAATTCAACAATTTCATTTCAAGTTAAAGCTCACCTTATTAAATCAAAAATAAGTGCACTTTTGGTGCTTTTAGAAGTGAAGTTCAACAGTATGCTGTTTGCAATTCTCTTAGTTAAAACGCGGCTGCAACAATGTTTGCAAACCGCACCACTTGAACAAATTTAATGGTCGCCACTGTTCCACAAAGTTAATAAACACCACGAGAGAAGTGAACACTTCGGCATTACAGTTAAAGAGAAGTTATGGTTAAGTTGAAGATTTAATGGGACCCGCCAAACAAAGATTAATAGTTAAGAATTTAAGGTATTGATCAAGTAAGTTTAGTTTCACGTTAGGCATTTAATATTTTAATAGATAATTATCACAGAGCCTGACGGGCCTGCCAAAGTGTTCAAAGGAGGTGACAAAAGCATGCACCCAAAATAAATCAGTAACTCGGCAAGGGTTGTGCACAACAAAATAAAACCATTAGTTATACACGAGAAGAAATGTGGCGCATAATCAAGACCAATGGGAACAGTTAGGACGGCGGATAACTTCATTAGATACGTAAAGATTTAAAGCTGCTACTTTTTGAGAGGAGCTGCGCCTCTGTCTTATATAGACAGAGTAAGCTCTACTTCTTCGTTGGAATTTCAAAGTAGCCAGGTTGGGAAATTTTCCCAACAAGATTTTCGCGTATGATTTCTGCAGTTAACTTCTGGCTCGCAATATGTGATGCGGGTTGGCATATAGCATACATTGTCTGTTAGGAGGCATGCGTAAATCCCCGTGGCTTGGGGATTTTCCGTAAAGAATTTCTCTCGCTCGAAGAGATTAGAAAAAATATTTTGTATCAGTAGAAGTAAACAATTTTAGAGCAGGAATCGGCGCAGGCCTTTGAAGAAGAATGATATTTTTAAGTTAACGAATACTTAGAATATCAATACAGAAATAAAACTTGTATTGGCTTGCGTTTGAATGAGAAGAAAAATCGTTAATAAAATGCACAAATAGAAAGAAAATTTGTAGATAAGTAAGGTGAAATAATTAATTCTTTAATACTAAATGTGACTACATTGAGGACAGGTTCCATGGACGCAGCCGAAAATGACGCGTTCGAGGACGACTACAACACACACGTCACCGAGGGAGAAAGGTGGGCCTCTTGTTCAGTTGAGAGGTAGGCCTCTTGTTCAGTTGAGAGGTAGGCCTCTTGTTCAGTTGAGAGGTGGGCTTCTTTTTCAGTTGAGAGGTGGGCCTCTAGTTCAGTTGAGAGGTGGGCCTCTTGTTCAGTTGAGAGGTGGGCCTCTTGTTCAGTTGAGAGGTAGGCCTCTTGTTCAGTTGAGAGGTGGGCCTCTTGTTCAGTTGAGAGGTAGGCCTCTTGTTCAGTTGAGAGGTGGGCCTCTTTTTCAGTTGAGAGGTGGGCCTCTTTTTCAGTTGAGAGTGAATAGTTACGAGCAGCTAGATGTGATAATGACGAATATAATCTACATAATATTCTGATGATTTGTTAACACTCAAAGAGTAGATAGAAAATAAGGCTACAAAATCCATCATCACTTGAATCAGGGATGCTACATATGGACCTTTTTTCGGACAAATTCTACCATTTCGTTTTTCACGATTGCGTTAGCCGGCGTAAATATAGATGGCGGTACTTCCTAATTGTATTTTAAATGGCAAAGAATAAATGAATATTTAATTTTTACACCTTAACCTTCAAATTTATCGGAAAATATTGAATATTGGGCCTGTTTTGGCCTTTTTTATTAGTGGATCCCTTTTATCGCCGATCCGATTGATGATATTAATTTAATTAGCAGCGAGCAGATATAAGTGAGGACAATTAAATTCATCACCATGAAAATGTTGTAAACATTTAAGCATTATCTGAAACAACACGTATAGTATCTATTCCGTAGCAATTAGCACGCTTATACGTGACGGTAAATTTTCAGGCAGCTTACTGAACTTCAAAAAATTTTCTTAACATTATGTTATACTAATCAAAATCCATTTGAATCGCGGTCAAAAAATCGTGCTCATTGCGTGTAATAGGCAACTATAAGGCTTTGTCTCTAATCAATTCATGCTTTACAATGCTAGGAACCTTGATAAGAACTACTTATTAATATTTGAAAATTCAGATCATTGACATTTTACTAATACAAAAACTTCTCTCTTAAACTATCTTTGAAACTTTATTTTCTGAAATTACTTTTCCTGACAATATTCAAAACGGTATTCGTGAAAAATTTTAGCCTGCACCAGTTTCGAATCGTTTTTTTAAACCTTTAACCTAAACCATCTTCAAAACGTTTTACCTTCGAAACTCTGAACAAATCCAATCGGAAATTCGATATTTTCAATAACTTCTCCCAGAAACCTTCTTTTACATCTTTTTTAAAGCTCTTAACAAATCCCATCGGTAAATCGATATTTTTTAATAACATTTGCCCGAAACCTTCTTTTACATGCTTTTAAAGCCTCTTAACAAATCCCATTGGTAAATAGATATTTTTAAATAACATTTACCCGAAACCTTCTTTTACATCTTTTTTAAAGCTCTTAACAAATCCCATCGTTAAATCAATCATTTTAATAACTTTTACCAGAAACCTTCTTTTACATGCTTTTTAAAGCTCTTAACAAATCCCATCGGTAAATCGATATTTTTAATAACATATACCAGAAACCTTCTTTTACATGCTTTTTAAAGTAGTTCCTCCTCCTCTAGCGACCTCCCCCACCACCCCCGCGGGGGCAGCCATCAGCTGACGACTTCACCCAGCAACTTCGCTCAGGCGCTCCCCCAGCGGGGCGGTCTGGTCAGCCAGAACCAGAGGGCGGCGCCCCGCGTGGACTGCGTCGTCAGCGAGTGGACGGACTGGAGCCCCTGCTCGACCACGTGTGGACGGGGACGGCGGGAGCGTCGTCGCGTCGTTCAGGTGACGTGGCCAGGAGTGGACGGGACATGGAGTGATGTGAACGGGACATGGTGTGATGTGGACGGGGCATGGAGTGATGTGGACGGGACATGGAGTGATGTGGACGGGACATGAAGTGATGTGGACGGGACATGGAGTGATGTGGACGGGGCATGGAGTGATGTGGACGGGACATGGAGTGATGTGGACGGGACATGGAGTGATGTGGACGGGACATGGAGTGATTTGGACGGGACATGGTGTGATGTGGACGGGACATGGAGTGATGTGGACGGGACATGGAGTGATGTGGACGGGACATGGAGTGATGCGGATATATTGAAATGGTCAGTCTATCTTAAGGTGGATGAGTAAAAATGGTTTCACAGCGTGTAAGGGCACTCAAAAAATGGAACAGGTTATATTTTCATAAGAGTGACACACATTCTTATTGACATACGCCCTTTTGTCGGACAAGAGTAAGTCAATATGATAAACACTAGGACAAAAATAACATTGCTATATGGACAAAGTCTTAATCATTTTTTCCAAATCTGGGGTGAAGGGTGGAGATCAAGTAGCCGGTGAATTTGGAGCAAACGATGGAATGTACGCCCCCAGTGGAGCTTATGGCGGAACATGGATCTTAAGGTGGAAGGCTTAATCCTCTAAAGGGGGAAGGCTTGATCCTATGGATCTAAAGGTGGAAGGCTTGATCCATTCGCTTCTTGTAGGGCAGGTGGAACTCAAGGTTGACCCTCAAAAATTGGAGTGGTTGCTGGAAGGATAAGCTGGGAGATATTGTGATGCTAAAACGGATCTTAAGGTGGAAGGCTTGGTCCTCTCTCACCACTCGCTTCTTGTAGGACAGGTGGAACTCAAGGTTGACCCTCAAAAATTGGAGTGGTTGATAGAAAGGATAAGCTAGAAGATGGTTGTGATGCTTAAGATGTACCATGGACATCAGATCCTTTAGTAGACGCTGTCAGTTTACCGGGGAGGCTGATTGGTATCAGTCGAATCGATGGGTTATGATGGACGAATTACATTATAATTTTAATGGAATATAAATTAAGATAAAGAAATAGGAACGAATACTTAACTTAGCTAACAAACTGAAGTAAAATGTCTGGCGGAATAGAACAAGGTCCTTTGCAGGAGTGCAGTTAGCCAACGGTAGAGTCACAGACGACTGGCGGTAGAGTCACAGACGACTGACGGTAGCATCACAGGCGACTGACAGTAGAGTCACAGACGACTTACGGTAGAATCACAGGCGACTGACGGTAGAATCTCAGGCGACTGATGGTAGAATAACAGACGATTGACGGTAGAATCACAGACAACTGACGGTAGAATCACAGGCGGCTGACAGTAGAATCACAGGCGGCTGACGGTAGAATCACAAACTACTGACGGTAGAGTCACAGACGACTGACGGTAGAGTCACAGACGACTGACGGTAGAGTCACAGACGACTGACGGTAGAGTCACAGACGACTAACGGTAGAATCGCAGGCGGCTGATGGTAGAATCACAGACGACTGAAGGTAGAATCACTGACGACTGACGGTAGATTCACAGACGACTGATAGAATCACAGACGACTGACGGTAGAATCACAGACGACTTAAACTAGAAATGCTCCCACTTTGCTCGATCCTTACAAACGCTCAACAACACAACACTTATTTTGATTGTATCGTCGCAAATCTCACATTTTAACATCAACTTTCTTACACTTACGTTTAAACGCCTCGTTTAATGTTTTTTGAATTACTGCACAATTGAAAATTAAAGATGTCAATGGAAACGAAGACATTTTTATGGAACGCCAATACGCAGAGGATGCACAGCGGTTAGTGAGGAGCAATAAATGCAAAAGTTGAACTCACTGTAGGAAAAGTGCAGACGTCATTATTAATAGAAATTTGCAATCTAGGATCACAATATTTCAATATAAAAAGAATGAGTCACTGTTACAATTACTGCTGTATCAACGCCGGAACTGAACACAATAGCTAAGCAGCAGATAATGACAATAATGAAGAAAGCTGTCAGGTTTGAAGGCCAAGTTGCTAGTTGAAGAGAATGGGTGAATTCATATCAGCCAAATATAGGTAATAGTTTTAGAAACCCGTCTAATAATTTATAAATTAGAAAAGAACGTTTTTAACTTTGTATTCCAGGATAATAAGAAAATTAGAACAATAAACAAAGCTACCAACATATTTATCTCCTTGAGCCATATAGGAAAGACTTGAACCCTAGAAAACACAAAGAGAAATCATGATAAACAGTTAAAGGCGTGTCCACTCGGCATTGTGTTAGTCAGTAAGTGCATGCCAGCAGGCGAGTTTAAGCCGGGAAAATTCAAGCTAAAAACAAAAGATAAAAGGAGAGCAAAAGATCTACGGTCTATCAGAACAAAAGCTCTACGGGGCGAAAACCTAACGGCGTCCAACGCTTAGCTTGTAAAGCAAGTACAGTAAAATTTAGAGGAGTGGACATAGGAGTGCAAATATGTTGACGAATTGAATTCAAATAAAGCGTATTTGCCTGAAGTAAAAAAAAGTAAAGCAAGCTTTAGAGTTTAGAGTAAGTAGCAAAAATAGTTTAAGGATGAGATTTAAACTGTCTCGAGGTTAATACAATTCAGTCAAATTATGCTTTAGATCCACGATTTCTCCTCTTCACAAGAGACTAGCGAGGAGCATATGTACAGATAATAAATTTATGCACTCTTTCCTGGAAAATAATTCCACACGTGATTCATTTATCGCGAATCCTTCAAGCTTCAGGTAGGAATATCGTTGTAATCAATGAGAAATTGGTGCTCGGGAGTGCTGCATACATTTGCTGGCCAAACAGCGGCTGATCATCAAATGTCGAAATCATGAATAATAAGCGACGAGCAATGGCCATTTGTTTCATTTTGAAGAGTCGACCAGAAGCACTCTAATGAACTCTAAATAATGCATAATGAAATAAGCTCTAAATAATGAACTCTTGACTTAAAATATGTAGATTATTAACGTTTTTTCATTAAAAATAAAATTATTCTCAGTGAAAGTAATTTCAGATATTTATTTTTACGATCGCATATTTATGTTTTATTTAGAATATATGGAAAATTATACTCAGACTCTGCCACAAGTTTGTAGGACACGTGTGTCTCCCGCACACATTCTTCCACGCGTTCCATCCTCGCCCAACCGATACGAACATTTCACTAATTTATTATTATTTGTTACCCTTTTTCTTTGAGGAAGTTTTCATTCGTCGCCAGAAGTTAACGTAACTCCTCTCACGATAAAAATTTTTAAATGTTTCTGGCTTTACAAAAAAATTTCATATTCTCTTATAGGCATCATATAAAGATTAGCTTTACATAGACTGGGGATATTCTTTTAGAATAGAATTCATTTTTTCTAATTAATTTTACAGGAACATGAGCTTCGGCCCCACGAAGCTCCAATTAATAGTTTATGTACTCATGACGACGCTTCGTATTCACTTCTGCTTCAAAGGACGAACTGAAATTCCACTCCAGTCTGCACGAACGTTCTGAAGTGATACTCTAATGGAGTGCCGCTGTACAGAACTAGTACTATATTTCCTTATTGGCTAGGTACTATTAGAGCTGACTTGTGTCAAGGTGGCAGAAGGCGGCCTTTTGGGAACCAGACATCGTCTGTTTACGTTCAATATTGATATTAATTTAACCATTGACAATCCACGAATGCAATGCCATTTTATGATTGGTTTTAGGCAAACCTATTCTGGCCATTTTTTTTTCAGGCCAAACGCGTACCGGTAATACCAATCAGCTACGTAATCGTTTACCGCATTAAGCATCTACCGCACGTAATGCGCGTTCGTCGTCACATTTAATGCTGAATGTCACGGCACTCCAGTAACAAACGAGCATCGCAGCGCACAACGCGTGTCAGATGAGTGCGCGCACGGTGCACTCATATAAGTCAAGAGGTCATATTATTCAAATAGTGACGCACTTTTTAACTCCCCAGCTGGCGCCATACTTTCAAAACTTGCTAAGTGAACGTAAGTACTTACGCGCTATTTTCTTGTCTGTGATTGGTGGATTTTGCTTGAAAGGCCGTCAATGATTGGCTGAAGAACTTACGATCTCTTAACTTTTTTGAAAGTATAGGCCCAGGAGCAGAGAGCGGACGTAGCACTAATACGCTCTTACAGTATACCAGGCCTAACTGGGTCAGGAATGGTCAAACTAATGCAAAACTCAAAGTTATTTGGACAACGTAGCATTCATTTATTTGTCTTATTCTTCTGCTATTTCAAAGTCTCACTCTTTCGCCTCACTAACGAAATATCAGCGACCGCAAATAACTTAATTTACATTTACTATAATTCAAATCATGAAAAATAGCAATTCATGTGCGAGATTATATGCGATGTTCTTGATTTAGCGTGCACAGGTTCATTTTATGGATTGAAATTTTTTCGTACGATCACAGGCACAGTTAGTGCCGCAGGAGCCATCCACGTCTTCCAGTCATTACAGTTTATGTAAAAGCTTGCAATTTATTGCGCCCAATTTTTATATTGCCTAATGCCATTATTATTATTATATTATTTTATTGCAGCGCAATAATTGTGATCAATTCGTTTGTATCACAGGTCGAACCTCAAAACAACGGCCGCGCCTGTCCCAGAAAACTTATACGTCGCAAGATCTGCCGGAACCCGAGATGTGGTGAGTACAGTGATGTTAGTACAGTGATGTTAGTACAGTGATGTTAGTACAGTGATGTTAGTAGAGTGATGTTAGTACAGTGATGTTAGTACAGTGATGTTAGTACAGTGATGTTAGTACAGTGATGTTAGTACAGAGATGTTAGTACAGTGATGTTAGTACAGTGATGTTAGTACAGTGATGTTAGTATAGTGATGTTAGTACAGTGATGTTAGTACAGTGATGTGAGTACACTGTGCATTGCAGCGGTGTGAGTACTGCTAATAGAACAGACTCTCATGTCCCGAACATACCCGAATCATGGTAAGGACTTCCGAATATTATGTGACTTTTTCTGGAAATTTTTCAACGTGCATTTTTCATGAATGATTCTGCACCAAATTAATGATTGTATTGATGAGAAGTGAAGTAACCAAGCAATATCAAGATGCTCTAAAACAAATGTTCCAAGTCTACAAATGACATAAAAACAGTCACTAGCTGAATAATTGAAAATATATTGTCGCATACGATACGATTTAGGGACGGTCAGCCGTAAAGATGCGGTGGTCGTAGGGGCGTAATAACCGTAACTATTTAGGGACAGTCAGCCGTAAAGATGCGGGGGTCGTAGGGCCGTAATAACCGTAACTATTTAGGGACGGTCAGCCGTAAAGACGCGGGGGTCGTAGGGCCGTAATAACCGTAACTATTTAGGGACGGTCAGCCATAAAGACGCGGGGGTCGTAGGGCCGTAATAACCGTAACTATTTAGGGACGGTCAGCCGTAAAGACGCGGGGATCGTAGGGCCGTAATAACCGTAACTATTTAGGGACGGTCAGCCGTAAAGATGCGGGGGTCGTAGGGCCGTAATAACCGTAACTATTCAATGGCCTTAAAGTCGTCCTCCGGACCGCATTGCGCAACCGAGGCTCACAGCTCCAGCGATTTAATCAGGTTTAAGTTTTCTTAAAATTTCTCGTAAATGATTAATTATTTTCAGCTCCCATAGGAAATGTTTCGGGAATGCTGGTTTATCACGCAATTAGCTTGAATTTTTTTCGTCTATTTTTCTATACTAAAATTTCTTGAGGTTATAACAATTTTCTCTTTGTTTTTGCATATGAAATCTGAATGAGTGGTCCTTTGAGTTGGGGATGCCTGAATATGGACCCGAAGTCCTTTATCGCTCAGGATAATGCAAAACATAAAAGTTCACAATGACAGATCTATAAAATTAAATATTATACAAAAACAAAAAAGTTTGCACTAGAAGAAGATATCAACTTTTAAATTTATGTCCAAATGTATAAATTATGTATATGCAAAGTGTTCGGTGACTATAAGAAAGGCAACATTTCTACGTCTCAGGTCATTTTGTTCAAGAAGTGTAATACATGAACGTTGCTTGATCATTTATGAATAAACTTTGTGTTTTCTATTATCTAGTTAGTGATGCATACCTCAATCTTTTTATAACGAAACGTAAGATTTCAATACAATATTTCCATAACCTGGCTGCTGAAAGTGAAATTTTTTCGTCAATATTATTGGTGCGACTGACGAGCTTCACACGGCGTAGGAGGTAGAACAAGAATACTGATTTTTTTTAATTCAATCCTGTAAACAAAACTAGGTCAAACGAACGGCGTTTTTTTCTATTAAAACTAATTGAAATTTTAATTTTTATTATATCGTGAAGGTTCTTCTGGAACTCCTGGATTTCCGTTGCAGAGGAATTACAAATAACGTCACCTATTAAGAAAACCATGATAAATTCTCTTGTTTATACTTCGAATTAATGAATTTTGCAGCAGCTCTACGCTCAGATAGTATTTACCCCGAGTAAATTATTCTTTCTATATTCCTCTATTGCAATAGTCAAGAGTACGTTTCGAGTTCCATAACCACCAACTGATTAACTCGTGTATTTTATTCGATCTTTCTCTGCCGCCACGTAAATGCCGGTGCTCTGTTTCCGTAGAAAAGATGCAGCGGCGCAGTTTAAATTTACTCACTTCTGCTTCACACTTGATGACCCAATGAGTCTAGCGAGGAAATGAATGAGAACAAATGCTTAGCGCCTGGCGCAAGAGAATTTAAAATATTTTAGGGATGAACCTTACTCCTACTGCGTTGCAACTCATCCACGCGACAACATTTCTTCTCGCTTCGAATCACCGACATGTGGAACAGCCTCCCCGATGACATTGTCAGCGCTCCGAGTACAAACATATTCAAGAACAGGCTAGACAAACTATGAAGATATATATGTTCAGACTTGAAATGCCTAGTACCATATCGAACACGGTGAAAGTCTAGTCGCTATTTCAAACTAGCGACAGTTTGGACCGGTCGAAGGACCTGTTTTTAGATCTCCTGTGAACAAGGCACGAAAAGAACAAGACTCGGCAACAGGCCACAAGAGGCTTATTCTTCAGCTCCGACATCACTATGCTATATGCTACGCTATACTCTTAGAGCAATGCGTGTCTGCGTTGCATAGAAGCGACATTATTCGGCATTTTCAGATTCAAGTAACAATTATAACTATAAAGGAAGCAAATATTTCCTAAATTTAATATTGTTGCAAAAATTATAATTCACTATATATGACACCGCTTCTTGTGTTTTGCAGTGTGTTGATTTCATTCTTATGCGTTTGTTTTTCCACATACATTGTTATTGTACGAATGGCAGCGCATTCTGTAGACTTATTCCCACACCCGTGTACAGAGATACAGTGAAAAATCGCTGGCTCAACAGTATAATAAATGCCGAGCTTGTCTAAACTACTACATCTCTGAGTTTAATTGTGATTTTGAATGAAGATTATAATGCTTTGAAAGTAATGATAAAATAAATGTTAGAACGACCAGTTATAAAAAGCAATTAACGAGCTACGCTATTCTTCTGGTGTGCGGTAGCCAATGCATTTTTAGCTCTACAAAAATTCTCGTTTTTTTTCCTTTATTTTGGTTGGATTTAATGCGCAAATAACATGAAAGTGAAATGCCGAGTAAAATTTCAGATGAATGAAAAAAACACGAAATAATATTTCGTTCTTTTAAAATAATGTTTACGGAGCTTTAACTCGGAAGAATATCAAAGTAGAATTTGTCTCTTTTAATTCCTCGTAAAACAGAAATGTATAAACCCAACACTATATTTCAACCTTGACATGAGAATACTATATAAGCACAATACTATATGTTTGATAAAAATAAATTCATAAATATTAAGAGATCAACAAGTTTAAAAAGGTAACATTTAAAATTTATTAAAGGGCATCACATATGCTAGAACATATTTTTGTCAACCGAAAAGACAATTAAATCGGTAGGAAGTATAGAAATTTGCTCCTGCAACGTCCATTATACTGCAGACATTTTGTTTTGAAATTTCTTTGTACAGGGTGACACAAAAAAAACAGAGCTCATAAAAAGTTGAATAATTTCCACAATACTCAAGTAATCCTGTTATTTGTTTCAGATTCATTAAGAAGACGGATTGATCTAAGAGTCTACCACGTGTGAGCTTCGAGATGCCTTGGACTACAGAGCAAAAGACATTTGCATCTTTGAGCGGCTGTAGAACAAAGAGTTTTTGTGGTATAGAATTGAGATTTTGCAGATGTTGGCTACATAGGTTGTACATAATTCCATAGAATTTTTGTTTCAAACTGAATAAAATTTCAGGAGTTATAAGACTTTTAGTGAGCTCTGTTTTTTTTGTGTCACCCTGTATGCCTATGCCTGTCAGCAACAAATATTCATCGCCTAATTATGAGTGGCCAAACGCCGGATCTTCGTCGGCCACCGATGCTCCTCTTATAATTTTCGATGCAATGCCGCGTTGTTACGTTAAAGAAATTTAAATATTCAGCGTAAGCGGCATCAGCTTCTGATGTTGAAGTTAATGCCGTAGTGACTTATGAATTATACACGAGTTGTGATGAATTACAGCGCTCTGCCTCCAGCAGCTCAAATATTAGTATTGGTGCAGGTTGCAAATAGCTGCAGGGTGAAGGTACTTTGTGACTCTCAGGGACTGTAGGGTGAATGGACTTTGCAGCTCCTAGAGACTGCGGGGTGAGTGGACTTTGTAGCTCCTGGGAGCTGCGGAGTGAGTGGACTTTGTAGCTCCTGGGAGCTGCGGAGTGAGTGGACTTTGTAGCTCCTGGGAGCTGCGGAGTGAGTGGACTTTGTAGCTCATGGGAGCTGCGGAGTGAGTGGACTTCAGGTCCTGGGAGCTGTGGGGTGAATGGACTTACTAGCTCCTGGGAGCTGCAGGGTGAATGGACTTACTAGCTCCTGGGAGCTGCGGGGTGAATGGACTTAGTAGCTCCTGGGAGCTGCGGGGTGAATGGACTTAGTAGCTCCTGGGAGCTGCGGAGTGAGTGGACTTCAGGTCCTGAGAGCTGCAGGGTAAATGAATTTTGTAGCTCCAGGGGCTACAGAGTGAATGAAGATGGAAGATAATTTTGTTGTGACTGCTCGAGTGAATTTATTTAAAAAGGAACGTAAAGTTCAGATCGTAAACACATTCTGAATGAAGAATTGATTCTACCCAACCATGTATTTTATTGATAGTTTTTGGTACGAGCGTTTCCACAACGATTAATTAGCCATCTCGATGATAGTGTTAAATGCATATTACTTATGCTATTTCAGTGACACTCCACGGGGGACTAGAATCGCTGAGTCTGACTCTCGATTCAGACGCCACGCCTGAATCTCGACAGCCTGAGTCTCCGCCTACGGGAGACTACACGCTCGACTACGGTGACGAAGACGTGAGTTACCAACCCGCAAGCCGTTACCCTCTCAGCAAATCTTGTAACCCTCGCCGTAACCTGGTAGCCCTTGCTGCAGGTGTTACAGCGGAACACTTTCCTTACCAGTGCTGACGTTAAAGCTGGCCACTACTTGTGCTACAAGCGTAGGAGCTTTAAATGCATCTTTTATAAAATGCATCACGTTAATTTATTTTTAGTCAAAACATCAACAAATGTATAAGGACTAGAATACGAGTTTCGCGTTTGCGAGAAACTTGTTGGAAAAATAGAACAATGCAGCACAGAAAAAAAGGCTACTGCTCAACCCTCAATTTTGGATGTTTTTATGAATAATTCTTACGTAAATAAAACGAAATGACCAGAACTTTGTGCACTCCCAGTAAAAGTTACCTGAATGGCCACGTGCGCCAGCGACTGCAGCAGAATAAAACGTAACCTTTTCTTAAAATCGTAGTAATTTGAGGTCGTTAATCTTAAAGAGGCACCGCCACGAGAAAGCTGCTTGCGGCAGGTACAGCGTTTGTTTTATACAGCAAGACTCAGCAAGCATCTCAGTAGCACGTGTGTGTTGTCGGTTGATTGATACAGCAAGACTCAGCAAGCATGTCGCCTTGAAGACTATTCTTTACGCGAGAAAACGCTCTGCATCCATCTACTTTACTATCCCTTCACTCTTCAGTTGTTTGACTCCAGTTTACTAGCTCCTAGTAGTCATTTTTTTCACATATCTCTTCACATTTCATTTCCATATTTCTTTCATTTCACTCGCTTTACATCCTTGCCTTATTGATATTACACCACAGCGTCACCCACCTATCTATAAAATGCTAATCCAGCATCTCTCACGCTTCAGTTTCCTCATTTCGCCCTAACTTTATTTCCTGCTCTCGTCTTAGTCTTTCGGATCCCGTGCCTTCGTGACCCGACCTCCATGGTATGCTTGGGGGAACTCATTTGTTGCCTCTCCCAACACGCCTCCCCTAAACTGCTCCCTCCATCAAGTGCATCCTCATTGTCGTCCTTCCACCCATGAACCTTCCTCATGAACGTCTCCCCTTGTTTGAACATTTCATATTAGCGCTTACGGCTTACCTTACATGCAAATTGCCTCATTAATCTCCATTCCCTTTGATCCTTTCACATTAACAAATTATATCCTTGAACCTTTACTAATTCTAATTTCTACATTGCACATTCCCTTCATATATACCTCCTCTTTCCCCTTCCCACCTCTAATTCACATCCTCCTCTCCAGTTCCTGTTAAACGATCTCTCCCTTCTTTCATTCCCTAATTGACACCCTCCTCTCCCCCAGTCTGACTGCTTGATGGGTGCTCTTCTCTCTTCTATTGACACCCTCCTCTCCCCCAGTCTGACTGCGTGATGGGTGACTAGAGTGCGTGGTCGCCATGCCCTAATTGTCACCCTCTCTCCCCCAGTCTGACTGCGTGATGGGTGACTAGAGTGCGTGGTCGCCATGCCCTAATTGTCACCCTCTCTCCCCCAGTCTGACTGCGTGATGGGTGACTGGAGTGCGTGGTCGCCATGCACGCAGTCGTGCGGGCCCGAGGCGCTGCAGCAGCGGGCCCGGTCCATCGTGAGCAGGCCCAGGGGCAAGGGGGAGGCCTGTGGGGCCAGACTCGAGCGTCGCTACTGCTCCTTGCCCCCGTGTCCCCACAACAGGTGTGTGGTCCCCACAACAGGTATGTGGTCCCCCACAACAGGTATGTGGTCCCTGCAACAGGTGTGTGGTCTCTGCAACAGGTGTGTGGTCCCCACAACAGGTGTATGGTCCCCACAACAGGTATGTGGTCCCCCACAACAAGTGTGTGGTCCCTGCAACAGGTGTGTGGTCTCCGCAACAAATGCGTTGTCTCTGTAACAGGTTCTTTGTCCCGACTGGTACTTTTGCCCAAAAGCATTTGGTTTGAAATAAGTGTTGAATAAATGATCGCCTATTCACATGATCCTTCATATTTTCAACTATCCCCAGACTTCATATTCAAACACCACATTATCCTCTTACGTTTTCTTTGGTTCACGAAACCATCCATATCTACGGTAAACTGTTCGTGATTACATGTTTTGGTTCAGCGATAATGTTGCGGTTCAATGATAATGTTTTGGTGCAGTGAAATTGTTTTGGAATAGTGAATATATTTTGGTTCAGTGAAAACATTTCGGTTCAGTGATAATGTTTCGGTTCAGCGATGATGTTTTAGTGCAGTGTAAATGTTTTGGTTCAGTGAAAACATTTCGGTTCAGTGATAATGTTGCGGTTCAATGATAATGTTTTGGTGCAGTGAAATTGTTTTGGTATAGTGAATATATTTTGGTTCAGTGAAAACATTTTGGTTCAGTGATAATGTTTCGGTTCAGTGATAATGTTTTGGTGCAGTGTAAATGTTTTGGTGCGTTGAAAACATTTCAGATCAATGATAATGTTTCGGTTTAACGATAATGTTTTAGTGCGGTGATAATGTTTCGGTTCAGTGATAATGTTTTTGTGCCGTGATAATGTTTCGGTTCAGTGAAAACATTTCGGTTCAGTAACACTGTTTCGGTTCAGTGAAAACATTTAGGTTCAGTGATAATGTTTCGGTTCAAAGATAATGTTTTAGTGCAGTGTAAATGTTTTGTTTCAGTGAAAACATTTCGGTTCAGTGATAATGTTTCGGTTCAGCGATATAATTAATCTCTGGTTCTCTTCTCACAGAGGCTGAACCGTCCCAAGCTAAGTGTCCTTCTCGCCCCCCATGTCGCCGTCGCCCTCATGAAAATCATAGCTGCATTATCGGCGGCCAACAATCGGCCATCTAGTGACCGTATATTGAAGTTAAATTACATCGTTGTCAGTAGAAGCCAGGGAACTTTTTAGGCGATCGCTTTTCCTTAGAAAGTTAATGGGAACATTTTTTGGTTGCTTTGGCGGTGAACGCAACATGCTAGAAATACCTAATTTTCTTGTCTTGTCGGTACTCAAAATCAGAAAAATAAATCATGTCGTTCTTGAAATATAGATGAGCGTGAAATTGCGATGTCATCACGCAAATTGGCTTTTCAAATAAATAGACTCTTCCCAAGGCAAGTTAATTATGAATATATATTCGGGTCTGTGACCAGCATACATTTTACAGATACATTTTATGCTATTTGAATAACATCGTTAAAAAGTCGCACTGAATTACAATGATAGGCCGTGAGCTTTATTCCAGCGGAAAATGTGCTTGGGACATTTGTCACGACGTTCTTTTTATTAAAATGCTAAGTTTAAAAAGTTTTTATTTTTAATGCTGTACCATTATGAAATTTCAATGCAGGAATTTGCGTCGCTCTTAATTTGGACGCAACGAAATAGGTTTAAATCTTATTTAAAATTAGCGTCGTGATAATTTTATATAATAAAACAAAATAAAAATGAAGCAACTAAGAAGGAGCTTATAATGTCAGTCCCCATTGAATTGTCCTGATATTTGGCCGCCGTCCATTAGGGCTTTAGGCTGGCGGCAGCCATACATTTCCCCTCACATGCCTCTAGAGGGGAGGAGTGGAGGGTCACATGCCTCTAGAGGGGAGGAGTGGAGGGTCACATGCCTCTAGAGGGGAGGGGTGGAGGGTCACATGTCTCTAGAGGGGAGGGGTGGAGGGTCACATGCCTCTAGAGGGGAGGGGTGGAGGGTCACATGCCTCTAGAGGGGAGGGGTGGGGGGTCACATGCCTCTAGAGGGGAGGGAATTCCACGCAATTCATCGCAATTTTCATCGCAGCCACTACTTCAGAGTCAAGTAAGTATTAATTACATGGGTAATTAAAAGCGCTTGTTTGGAATTCTTCTTACTTTTAACATTAATTAGTTCACTGTGGGATGTCAAACGTATAATTATTGTTCATAAATCAAGAGTTATATCTCATTATTGACTTAGGCTCGACCTTTGACACCAGGTTTTTCTATCAGATTTGTTATTTAAGATGTAATGACACATGGTATTTACTTATATTGATTAAAAGAAATAATTCTTAACCTGCCATAATATTCATGTTTTCGGAAGTTGTGCGCATCAGCTGTGAAGATGTCCTAAGGAAGGAACTGAGCTTCCCATACGTACATGTTATATTATATTACCGTGCATAGTTATAAGAAATAATAAACGATATTCTCTTTGTGCTAATTTCTCATAAACTTAAGATATATTACATGTAATCCCCGGTAAAGCAGTTGAATCAAATGCATAGAGTCACTCTGACATGTTCTCTGGGATACATTAGTTTATATGTGGAGCTTATAGATACTATATAGCATGAACATAGGCTTAGAAAGGCTTCATAATTCATTTATATTATTATGAAAATTATTCCGAATATATCATAATTGGAATATAAGAAAAGTATTGAGATATGAAAGATCCCGCGCGTCGTATCATAAAGCAAGCTCACTTTGATGGATGTCATTCCTGAGATGCTTGTTTTGAAGGTGATAAATTGTAATAGAGGTAATAGTAGAATTTTGAAGGTAATAAATTATGTATACATTTTTAACTGCCGGTAAGTCGTAAGTTTGAATCACTGGTCACTGAAAAATAACCTGTATAATGATAGATGGTTTTTACGCCAGAATAATGATGATGGTTAATAAGCTTGAATTCTGTAAGCGTTTCCATTGAATGAAATTAAGCCAATACAATTCTCGTATTATTTATGGCTCGTCTGATGGGTTGAATCGAGACAATTCTACTTGTGCCGTCGAAAATGTTCATCGAATCATGCCCATTTTCAACAGCTTTGTACAAAAAAATAACAACCCTATTAGATTTACAATTGATCAATTACACGATTCATTACAAAGAAAATCACGCGTTAAGAGAACAGTTTCGAAATAACCTGTAAAAGAATACGCTGTTTTTGTTGTTTTTTCTAAGTAAATTTTGAACGAAATTTTTCTAGGTAGACTAACTTCTTTTTTTACAGAATCTTTCAAAGTGTTTAACTGGTTTAAGAGAAAAACTATTTGCTCTCAGAATGCAATACGTTCGAGAATTGTTAACGATTTTATAGTGTCTTTTGTGTAAGTAGCGTGACTTTGAGAGCCAACTGCAACTGCCGGATTCTACACGCGTTCTGAGATTGCATTAACTGATGTCTTGACGTGAGGTCAGAGGATGTGTCTAATATCAAATAATTCAATGTTAATCACGCGTTCAAAGAACTTCAGGCATGTTTGCTTGCTCATTCTTAATGAAGAGCACTCACTTCACTGACCACGCGTAGAGTGCACTCTGCACTGACCACGCGTAGAGTGCACTCTGCACTGACCACGTGTAGAGTGCACTATGCACTGACCACGTGTAGAGTGCACGCTGCACTGACCACGTGTAGAGTGCACGCTGCACTGGCCACGTGTAGAGTGCACTCTGCACTGACCACGTGTAGAGTGCACTCTGCACTGACAACGTGTAGAGTGCACTCTGCACTGACCACGCGTAGACTGCTCTCTGCACTGACCACGCGTAGAGTCCACTCTGCACTGACCACGTGTAGAGTCCACTCTGCACTGACCATGCTCGCCCCTATATCGATCTGCACTGACCACGTGCAGAGTGCACTCTGCACTGACCACGCGTAGACTGCTCTCTGCACTGACCACGCGTAGAGTCCACTCTGCACTGACCATGCTCGCCCCTATATCGATCTGCACTGACCACGTGTAGAGTGCACTCTGCACTGACCACGCGTAGAGTTTATTGTAATGAGAGCAACCTCTAGACGAGACGTTGGCTGGGATGCTGAGAATGTAAGTCGCTATTTCATTTTAGTTAAGGCGGATAGAAGCAGCTTTTGTGCAAAGAACCAATATTATATCCAAAGAGACATGTACATACATTTTGAAATAATTGTTTACTAACCATGTCGTTCTTATAGAAGTTTGTCGTACTCTCCATATCAAAACGATAATATTAAACTTGAACAAAAATTCTCTCTTGTTTTGTTTACCTCAATTTTATTAAAGTTTTGCGCTAAATTTTACGCTAAATAATGTAATGTTAGAAATATTTTTAAATCATATCTTATCTGGAGCTGATCTCGACTATTGTTTTGGAGAGATAGCAGGTGATTGTGATGACTGTTTGGAGAGATAGTAGGTAATTGTGGTGATTGTTTGGAGAGATAGCAGGTAATTGTGGTGACTGTTTGGAGAGATAGTAGGTAATTGTGGTGACTGTTTGGAGTGATAGTAGGTAATTGTGGTGACTGTTTTGAAGAGATAGCAGGTAATTGTGGTGACTGTTTGGAGTGATAGTAGGTAATTGTGGTGACTGTTTTGAAGAGATAGCAGGTAATTGTGGTGATTGTTTCGAGTGATAGTAGGTAATTGTGGTGACTGTTTGGAGAGATAGCAGGTAATTGTGGTGACTGTTTGGAGAGATAGTAGGTAATTGTGGTGACTGTTTATGAGAGATAGCAGGTAATTGTGGTGACTGTTTATGAGAGATAGCAGGTAATTGTGGTGACTGTTTATGAGAGATAGTAGGTAATATTGGTGACTGTTTTGGAGAGTTAGTAGGCAATTGTGGTGAGTGTTTATGAGAGATAGCAGGTAATTGTGGTGACCAGCTGAATTTATTTAATAGTATCTTAAATTTATAGCAATTGAATTTAGTGCAGTTGCATTTTTAGCAATTAAGTGTGATGTAGTCCTTTGTTGCTTTTCACTGTATTGCAGTGTTTAAGTTTTTAAAGCTATTTTGGATTTTTTATCAGCAGTCTTATTTTATAGATCTTGACTCTATTGTAGTTCTTATTTATTGCTTGTAATTTATTGAAGTCCATGGGTCGGATTGTGAGTCAGGGAAGACAGTATTTTATTTCAAAAATTAGTTGTCTTTGCAATCGATCAATCAGCCGGTGAAATTTATGAGATTTTTGCTGAATGACCAATACGAACCATCATTCAATGTATAACATATTAACTGTGTTCACGCTGTAAATTTTGCAACATCTAATTATGGCGCAAGTATTTCAATGTTATTATATTCATTTTGAAATATTAAGCGACCCGTCCAGCAATAGAATTTGTCCGATTTAGGAGAATAAAAATACGACATTTTAAAGTCGATTAAAAGGTTAACTCAATTAATCTGCTACGGCTGAACGAATTTACGTGCATTTGATCCCAAACGGGCCCGTCCCTCGTTTTTATGAGATTACAAATGATCATTTAACTGGAAAAAATATAATGATTGAGGCGCTTACATAATTCTACGAGCATTACAAATTAGTGACCTTTTAAATAGAGCGATGAGCTTAAATTCAACTCTTAAAAGTCACACGATCATTTTTAAAAACTATATTTTTTTCCTACCATGCAGTTTTTTATTAAATTCAGAAGAAATCTAAAATGGACAATAAAATGAACTATCATTATGAACGCACTTCGTCGGAAATTTGCGCAACCGCTCGCTCAATTTGAAATTTTATTTTTAATTCATCAATCAAGCAACATATTTCGCGGCCAGTATAGCAACCTTTCAATCTGACAAGAAATTATCTTGTAGCGTTTTTATTTATCGAGGCGAACTATAGATTCAATTATAGGATAGGTCTCTCATGTGGTCACAGTATTATCAGTTGGTTGAAAATATTAGCCCAGACCAAACGAAGGTTAGTTGCTCCCACTCTAATTTAACTCCTCGGCTGTTGATAAGGTTAAGGAAAGATTGTGCAGTGGAACCTGTTTGACAGAGAGCCACGTAAATTAATTTATACGGCAGATTATATGATTATTTGTGTTGATTATTTATGATTTGATGTTGATTATTTATTTATAATCAACAGTTTAGGGCGGTAATGGCGTACATGTTAGTGCATTGACTCACGTAGCAAGGAGAAATGTTGTACTCTTCAAAATTTCAGCATCATAAGTGTCTCTCTGCCCTCCTTGGTCCCTCATGGCGCTGCTGTGCCACGAAGAGTACAAAGAAGGAGCAATGAACTGCCGTTCAACAAACTAGAAGATAAAATAGAAATAGAAATGTTCATCCATATTCATCATAAGTAAAAGAAGTACTTAAATTATCAGTCTGCTTACATCGCAAGTTCACATGTTGTTTAAAAGCAAAGAAAAGACCAAGCAATATCACTATATCGATATTGAAAATGTATCGGAGTCCAGCTGCATCGTCAGTTCGAAGTAAAAGAAGTTTAGCTATAAGTCGACGAAATACTAATTTCACATCTATCAATTACCTAATGTTTTACCGTGCATTGTATTACATACTTAAGAAATTTAATGATTTACTAATTCGGGAGATAACAGAGCAAAGGTTCTTAAGTTGGATGTTGGAAGATAGGATGAGAGGTAAAAATGTTTACAGTCTGAAAGAAAATGAATGGCTTTATTTTAGAATCGCGCTGCGAATAATATTTGCTTAACTGCCGGTCTGATTTGCGCTTGTCCATTTTCAAATTTTTCGTGAATTGGATAGAATTTAATTTGAATATAGATCAAATATAGATTTACCAAACAATTAGCTATAAATGTTCTGATTAGATTAACTAATTTCAAAATATGGTAATCTTTTTTATTGAATTCAACTATAAATCTGAATCTCGGACCAGCCGA